AACACCAGACCTAAGCAACTCTGCCCAGTGGGGGCACTCGACCTCATCACCAAACTCAGCACGCCACGCATCGTCGAGACGGGAGAAGCAGCGGTGCTGCGTGTGCGCCTTCCCGCATGTCTGACCAGCACGGTCACCCGTGCGAATGACATACGGGCAGCTCACACTACCCTCAAACGCCCCACGCTGAAACAACCACTCACAAAGCTGCTAGGGCGATGGGGATTCTCTCCGACGCTGCTGCCGCTGCCTCTGGCCTCGTCCAGTACCTCCACGCTGCGCTCTAGTCCTACTGCCACCACTACCACCGCTGCGACTACCGCCACTCCCACCGCTGCCTCCACCGCGCCACCAACGCCCCCACTCCCTCCACCACTCCCACCGCTGCCACCACCTCCACTGCCTCCACTACCTCCAGTGCTGCCCCCACCACCACCCCCGCTGCCCCCTCCACCACCCCTGCCACCCTTGCCCTTGCTGCTGCGGCGCTTCGCACTAGCAGAAGCAGCCCCGACATCCTCAGTACTAAGGACGTCTACAGCAGCAGGAGAGGCGTAGGAGGGGGCAAGGGGGGAAGGGGAGCACCCCTCAAAGAAGGTCGTGCGCAGAGTGCCACGAGCAGCACCTACAGCTACCGCACTAGTCTCAGCTGCAAGGAGGTGCTGCTCGAGTAGGTCAACAGTGAGGGAGGTGGGGTCAAGGGAGAGAAAGTGGTCCCTGACAGAGCGAAGAGAGTCAGGGAGGCGGGTGACTATAAAGTAGAGAGTGATGAACATCGGGGGCTGGTTCCTGTCAAGGAACTCAGCAGGGGCGGTAGCGCGGTAGCGAGCATCGCTAGTGCGAAGGTGGGAAACCAGGTCCTCGAGTGTGGCAAAGGCGGACAGCTCGGGGAACAGGTAGGGCAGTAGGAGGCGGCCTAGAGCAGCAGTGGCAGGCGAGGAGTAGCGAGCGACTACAGCGTCGTACATTGTCTGCGCTGTCTTGTGCTGTCCGAAGTGAGCGCATTCGGCCAACCGGAGGTGGTTGCAAATGGCTAAGCGGGCAACAGCGTCGCGAGTCAACCACTGTGAGTGGGTCGCACTGTCAGCTGTGGCGGGAGGGGCGGGAGTGGCGCCAGACGTGTGGTCAAACAACGAAACACTGTCCCTAGAGTCGCTTAATAGGTACAGCTGCAGGTTGTCGAGCCACGTGTCAAACTGCAAGGGGCGTCCCTCATGATCGAACACGAGAACGCAGAGAGACGTTATAGTGGCGCAGCACGTAGGGCGGGCAGAGGCCTAGCATCGCAGGGAACAGGTCAGGCAGCAGGTTGCAGGAGGGGCGGCTCGAGGGCCTAGGGGCGACTGCGGGGCGACGTGTCGGGGCCAGGGGCTACGGGCCGGGACTAGGGGCGACGGGCCTGGGGGGCCAGGAGCAACAGGCCGCGGGGCCAAGGGGCGATGGGCCGGAGGCCTAGGGGCGACGGGCCGTGGGGCCGAGAGCGAGAGGGGGCCATGGGGCCAGGGGCGACGGGCCTAGGTGACAGGCCGGGGCGCGCGGGCGAGGGGCTACAGGCCGGGGCGCGCTGGCTAGGGGCGACAGGCCGCGGGGCCTAGGAGAAACGGGCCGGGGGGGGGGGGGGGGGGGGGGGGGGGGGGGGGGGGGGGGGGCCTAGGGGCAATGGGCTTCGGGCCCTATGGGTGACTGGCCGGAGGCCTAGGGGCGACGGGTCGTGGGGCCTAGGGGCAACGGGCCCGGGGGCCTAAGGGCAACGGGCCCAAGGGGGGCCTAAGGGCGACTAGCCGCGGGGCCGAGAGTTAGCGGCCGGGGCGCGCGGGCAAGGGGCGACGGGCCGGGGCACGCGATGGCTAGGGGCGACGGTCCGGGCACGTAGGCTAGGGGCGACGGGCCGGGCCGCAGGGCCAGGAGATACGGGCCGGGCGCTTAGGCTAGGGGCGACGGGCCGGGCGCTCGTAGCTAGGGGTGACGGGCCGGGCGCGTAGGCTAGGGGCGACGGGCCGGGCGCGCGATGGCTAGGGGCGACGGGCCTGGCGCGTAGGCTAGGGGCGACGGGCCGGGCGCGTAGGCTAGGGGCGAAGGGCCGGGCGCGCGTAGGCTAGGGGCGACGGGCTGGGCTAGAGGCGACGGGCCGGGCTAGGGGCGCGCTGACTAGGGCCTACGGGCCGAGCTAGGGGCAACGGGCCTAGGGGCGACGGGCCTAGGGCGACGGGCCGGGTGTCGACGGGCAAGGGCGACGGGCCGAGGCGACGGGCCCAGTGGCGACGGGCGTACGGGCGACGGGCTACGGGCCGGTGCCTAGGGGCCTGGCCTAGGGGTCGACGGATCGCGACGGGCACTAAGGGCAGCACGAGGGCTGCAGAGGGCGGCTAGCGGGGTAGCGCTGTGGTGGGCCCAAGGAAAAAAACGGTCCTAGCAAAGGACCTGCTCTGAAACCATGTCAGAAGAATGAACGAGAATGAATGAACTATGAAACAGTTGGGTACAAGTACTAACCCTAATTGGGTTGTACCCCTTATGGGATACCCCACTATAGCCTACACAAATGTAAGCACTATAATGTTCTGACATCGATGACCGCCAACGGTAGGTTTGGCCCGTACTCGTTGGCCTCATGGCGTCTACTCGCGTCCTCCAGCCGTGCCTCCAGGGTGTCCACTAATCCTACGTCACCTACGGCACAGCTGCCGGCTTACAAACACGAATTAGGTAAGTGACCACTACGTCGACCTGACTGAAGGGGTAAGTCGTGTGCCGTCCACGCTTACCGCACCATGCGGAGATAACTCTATCAACGGGAGCTAGACTACGGGCTAGTCACGGGGTAGGAGGGATCTCTGCGTTCGTTCACTTAGTCGTTCTCTAGCACTTGTGTGTTCACAAGGCAAAACCGCAAGAGTTTCACTAGCAAGAGTTGAGAACAATAGTAGCAACTAGATTGGTAAGGTAGACTACATCAGAAGCCTAGCATACAAGTCGACCACCAGCTCAGCACGAAGGCGACTTGCCAGCTGGTCGACCTCAGGCGTCCTCAATCGACCTGCAAGGCTGGCATGCCAGCTCACCAACAACAGGCCACCGCAGGTCACCACACGTGCTCATGTGCGCACACCTACTTCGCAGGTGCAAGGTGACGGTAACGACATGCACCGCCACACACATTGCGCAGGTGCCAAGTCGACCACATGTCGACGGTTGCACTTGAGGAGTCATGTTGACCACGTGCCACCGAACCGCAGGTCGACATTGCCAATCCACCTGGGCGACAGTCGCGAACCTCGCAGACCTCGTCGTCCGTGTAACATGGTCAATCAGGCAACCATGTCGACCAAGTGTGTCATCCTAGGCCCGTTGACCGCCCGAGTCGACGACCACCACATGTCGACCTCACCTGGTCGACCACTCCTTTGGTCGATCAACTCCAGGTCGACAACCCACCTGGTTGACCAACTCCAGGTCGACCAGTACACATGTCAGCCGACCACACCCAGTCGGCTTCCCCTGGTCGGCGTCACCCAAGTCGACGCACTCTACTGGTCGACCTCCCAAGTCGACCAGCCAAAGTTGGCGCCCTCCCAAAGTTCGGCGCCCTTGCAGTGGCCCTTGTGCAGGTCGACCAGGCCCGTCGACCAGCTCGCTCACTGTTGCAGGTCGGCTGCACTCCTTACACCCGACCCTGAAGTCAGCTCCGCCCAAGCGAGGACGGGGCCAACAACAACTCCCGTTGACAGCTTCGGGACGGGTTTTGTGCGGTGGGAAATCGAGTCGCTGCTTCTTTCGCATGCATTTCATGCACGATCTGACATGAACGTTTCACGGCCGTGTTCGCCTTATCGATGGCTTCAATTTGGTACCCCGAAAAACAAAATTATTTTTTCCTTCTTATACACACCTATTATTATGCCCTAGACTCAATTACAAGCGCCCCCCCCCTTATAAAATTGATTTTATTATAAGCGCAGATGGGTTACTATCCGGGGTGATACGGTATCAGACTTGCCTGATAAAATGTGCGAAGGGTTTATGGTGTAGGGGAATTTCAGCGTGAGTCTGATATGAGTTTTGCCTGATATGAGGCGTAAGAATACACCCTAATATGCATGACCTTGTAAAGCGGATACATTTCAAGCAAGCGTTGTACAGTAATATACCGGTTTAATGTGCAGAACCACGTATATTTGAAAATGTATTTGAGATTTTCACAGAATTTTAGGACTTGGCTTCACTTTACTGGCAATTGGAATAGAACATGGTTTGAGAGCAATTGTTTTTTTTTTTCCTTTATTTGTTTTTGTGTTAATTTGACATTGTTAGTGATACATCAAACCACTCCCTTGGCGCAATTCCAGAGGAAAGCAGCTCCGGCGCCTACCACGTGGAGGCGGAATCGTGACTAGATGGCTCGTTGGCAGTCGTTTGCCCCACCCTTCGCCCAACATCGAGGCTGAGGGCGTCCACGTCGGACTGGCATCTTTGAGCTTCCCCCACAAACAATCTGCTGCGGAAAGATCTGGGCGGTGTTTCCCTGCGGGTGTGCGATGCTACAAGACGCCTTTTGTTTCCCAAGGTGTGGGGGCAAGGGTGCGAGCGCTAGCACCAAGGTGCGGAGGAAACCCGCCCATGCTGCCGACCATCTCGAGCGCGTTCCGCCATAGTAGTTGCGCCTTGGGCGCGCAGGCAGCGGCGCTGCAGTTTGGGTTGAAGCCACTTCCCGTCGAAGCCTCTGTCACAAATAACTGGGGGAATTCCCCCCCCATCCAACCCCCATTCACCTCCGCAAAGCCCTCCTGATTCCAAGCCTATGATAACTGTTCTGTCCTCGCCTCAGACCTTTTCACTTTCCACATTCCCCCATCACACTTCTCGTCTTGTGCGGAGACAGCCCCATCAACCTGAATATACGCACTCATCACCTCTGTATCGTTACCTTCTCTTCACCCAACCTTGGCTTGCCGCGCTGTACCTGCCATCGGGCTGTCAGCTGTATTTTACCGCAGCGCGCAATGGCCAGTCTAAACGCTGTTCTATTGCCCAAGGCGGCAACCGCCTCTGCATCAATCACGGCGCTCACTCCGCGGGCCCTCGGCAGCAAGTCGCACATTGCGCAGTCGCTGCCTGTTAGGTCTCCCGCAGCTCGCGCTCCATCGCACGCGCAACTCGCGCCGCGATGCGTGCAGGCGGCCGAGCCGCCGCTGACGGTGCCGAAAGCATCGTCGAGCGCGGCGGAGCCGTGGTCGCCGGGCAGCTGGCAGACGCGCAAGGCGTGGCAGCAGCCAGACTACCCCGACAAGGAGGCGCTCGCCGCGGCGCTCGAGGAACTCGAACGGTGCCCGCCGCTCGTGTTCGCGGGGGAGGCGCGCGCGCTGGAGGAGAAGCTGGGGGAGGCGGCTTTGGGGAAGGCGTTCTTGCTGCAGGTGAGGACGTGGCTGGCGACCGCGTTTCGGCGAGCTTGAGCTTGAGCAGGATTTCCCGTCGAAGGCTGCGTCTTTTCTTTTGGTCGGCGCCCTCGATCCGTCACCTTCTTTTGGAAGTGTCATTCAGCCAAAGATGTCATATTTCTTATTTTTTGTATCTCCATCCTTATCCCTCCGCTTCCCGCTTCCCCTGTTTCCCTCTTGTGGCTGCTCCGCCTTACACTGAATCCGCCTCTATCTGGTCCCCCGCTTCACTGATTCCCCTCCCCGTCCTCCTGGCAGGGCGGCGACTGCGCGGAGAGCTTCAAGGAGTTCCGCGCGGACAATATCCGCGACACCTTCCGCGTGCTGCTGCAGATGGCCGTCGTCCTCACCTTCGGCGGCCAGATGCCCGTCATCAAGGTGAGCTGACGTCATCAATCAAGTTTAGCTGACGTATCAAGGTGAGCTGACGTCATCAAGGTGTAATGACGTCATCAAGGTGAGATGGCGTCGTCAAGGTGCATCTAGTCATCAGGGTCAGGGTCTCGCAGATGCTGTCAGCCTCATACGCACGTATATGACAGCCGCTCATGTGAGTCGCGCGTAGATGCCTGGAGATGCACAAGACGAAGTCTTGCCAGGCAATTCGAAAAGTAGGATAATTTAACATCATTGAACAAGACGCTAGTAGCAGTTCCGAAACCCTACCTTTGTCTGTCCACGCTCTAACGTCGTCGCCTGCCATCACGCTGGCAGCACCGCGAACATGGCAGCGACCTTTTTTGTCACTCATCGAACCCCCAATACTCTGTCTATGCCTTCCTTCGATTCTGAAGTTCTACTCTTTTCTCTTGTATCTGTCGCTGCTCCCCGTCTGTCGCTGCAGTTGTGAATCCGGAATTTCCACTCACCTTCTCCTCCCCCTCCCCCCTTCCCCTCCTCACCCCCTTCCCTCCGCGGCATCCCCGAGGGCAGGTGGGGCGCATGGCGGGGCAGTTCGCCAAGCCGCGCTCAGACCCCATGGAGACGCGCGGCGACGTGAGCCTGCCGTCGTACCGCGGCGACAACATCAACGGCGACGCCTTCACACCCGAGTCGCGCGTGCCCGACCCACAGCGGCTGGTGAAGGCGTACAGCCAGGCGGCGGCGACGCTGAACCTGCTGCGCGCGTTCGCGACGGGCGGGTACGCGGCGATGGAGCGCGTGAGCAAGTGGGAGCTCGCCTTCATGGAGAACCAGGAGCAGGCCTCCAGGTCAGTCGCTTAGAACAGGCTTCAAGGTCAGTCTTGGCTGGTAACTCGCTTAGAGCAGGCGTTTGGAAGGTCTTTGTCGTTCCGGATCAAGTCATGGATGGATGCCAGCTTCCCCCGCTAGTTTGGGCTCTTTTTCTTAGCAGGCCTTTTCGCGAGTCGCTACTTTCAAGTTGAGCCGCTTCGAGCAGGTCGACAGTGATGGCGCGCGAAAGTAGCAGTAGCCTCAGCGCTAAGCGCCGTGCCATCGCGATGCTCATGTCTGGATGAAAACCACCAGCAGCCAGATTTTTCTTGAAACGAGAACTCTCGGCGTCCAGGCGAGCTGCAAGTAGCGTCGTTGAGGCCATCCTGTGAGCGAATGGCATGGCGCTGAGTGAAGCCGAGGTGACTTTGGTCCTCGTGCGTGGGATGGGAGGGCTTGACGTTGCGGCAACGGGAGTGGAAACATTCTTTTCGTCAAGAACGGAAACAGAAATCAGCGTAGTTGGCGGACGGGAGACACAATTCTGTGAAACGAAGCTTTCCAAAGGTTCTTAAAAGAAACTGTTGGAGGTGGCGGAGGGCATCAGCCTCTCGCTCCCCACTCCACTTTGCAGCTCAGCTGCACAGCGCGGCAGTGTGCGAGACACAGCATGTGCACGTATCAACATTCCATTCCCATCCTTCTTGAAACGTCCTCCTGACTCATCCCCTGAGACCCCCTCCTCTCCCTCCAAATCTTCCCTTTCTACCCCCCTGTCCTCCTTCCCCTCTTTCCGCCAATCCTCTCTCCCCTGGCACGTGGCAGGTACGAGGAGCTGGCGAGTCGCGTGGACGAGGCGCTGGGGTTCATGGCGGCGTGCGGGCTGACGGCGGAGCACCCGAGCATGCGCTCCACCGACTTCTTCACGTCGCACGAGTGCCTGCTGCTGCCCTACGAGCAGGCGCTCACCCGCATCGACTCCACCACCGGCCGCTGGTCAGCTTCCGACCTAACCCATCCTCTCCCTCTTGTGAACCCCGCGCCATTCTCTCGTTGCCCACTGCCCTCCTCTCCTCACATGCTGCCCGCCCTCTCGTCACATGCCGCCCATCCTCTTGCGGCCTGCCGCTCCACTTGAGAATTCCCGAACTGCTAGTGCGAACGCATATGAGGTGGCGAGGACGCAACTCGTGGCGTCAGTGCAACTATTGCCTTGTGAGATCAGTTGATTGAATTGGAATGCGCGAAACAGTGGTGCGCGCGCACCTGGGTGGCTGAGAAAACACGCTCAAAGCACCTCAATACGTAGCTCCCGCCACCCCTATACTGAACCGCGCTTCACCGCACTCCCCACTCCCTCAATCCTCCCCACACTTCTCCTCTTATCGCCCCCCCTCCCCACCCTCACCCCCTTTCCCCTCCCACATCACTCCAGGTACGACTGTTCAGCGCACTTCATCTGGGTGGGCGAGCGCACGCGACAGCTGGACTGCGCTCACATTGAGTTCCTCCGCGGCGTTGCCAACCCCCTCGGCATCAAGGTGCGTGCACTGCCATGCACTTGGGCATCACATGGGTGCTCACTCCCATGACCTTTATGCCACGCTCAGCAGGAGCAGCGGCAGTCCTAGCGTGGAATGTGTTGAGGGTGGAGGTGGGGATTGCTTGACAACTGCACCTGTGCAAGAGAGTGGTGAGCGTGCCATGGTGCCGTTAATGGAGTGCCAGTAGTGAGGTGCACCGTGAATGTGCCAGTAGTGAGGTGCACCGTGAATGTGCCAGTGCCTCCAAAGCATCTCCTCTCCCTTCTCCCCTATCCCCGTTTCACCCCCAACCACTTTGCCATGCCAGCTGGTTTTTTCTTATCCTTTCCGCATCCGTCTGCATCCCTCTCTCTCCCTGTTCCAACGGAGCAGGTGAGTGACAAGATGCCGCCACAGGACCTGGTAGAGGTGTGCCACATCCTCAACCCTGACAACCGCCCCGGCCGCCTCACAGTGATCGTGCGTATGGGTGCGGAGAAGCTGCGGGAGAAGCTGCCGGCGCTGGTGCAGGCGGTGGAGCGTGAGGGGCTGGTGGTGACGTGGGTGTCCGACCCCATGCACGGCAACACCATCAAGGCACCCAACGGCTACAAGACCCGCGACTTCAACTCCATCCGGGTGAGCCACGCGGGGGTGTGTGTGCATGTGCATACATGTGTGACGTGTGGAAGTGCTGTAGTAACATTGCTTGTGTGTGGTTTCTCGGGCGGCTGATTGCCTTCACCAGACAATCTTGGCAGGGCACCACAACAACTATACTCTCGCTTTACCCCCGGGGCCTGGCTCATGCTCATTCAGTAATTCCATTTCCCCCACCAACACCTTCCCGCCCCCATCAGGCGGAGCTGAGGGCGTTCTTTGACGTGCATGAAGAGCTGGGCACGCACCCAGGAGGGGTGCACTTGGAGATGACGGGGCAGAACGTGACGGAGTGTGTGGGGGGCACCAAGGAGGTGACGTTTGACGACCTGTCGTCGCGCTACCACACGCACTGCGACCCGCGCCTCAACGCCTCTCAGAGCCTCGAGCTCGCCTTCCTCATTGCTGACCGCCTCCGACGAGGCCGTGGCAAGCCCTCGCTCTGGCTCGAGGGGTGAAGCACGAGGGGGGTTGCTCTAGGTGTATGTCTGGGGAGGGGAGGGGTGTGTAGGGTGACATAGATGTGGGTGCCATGAGATCGCAAGGGGACTAGGGTCCCTGTAGTGTTTTGATTAATTGCTGGGAGACTGTATCGTTCACTGAGGTTTGCTCTTGCAAAGAATGAACGGATCATAGCACCCAAACTGTGGAGATGACGTGCCTGCCTTGTGCGCAGTGTCCTAAGGTTGATTCACCCTGTTATCCAGAGGTGTGCACCATTGGCAGCCAATTAGAAAATGGGCCAGTAAGCGCAGGCGATGCTACTTTTACACATGAAAACATGTGCTTTGTCATACACATTACGTCGCAGCACCAAAGCATTTTAGATAATTACAAGACATACAACCAGGAAATTATGATTACTCCAGTGCTCCAGGCTACTCTCTAGGCACGAGAGGTGCCTGTCCGACTAGGCAGCCGATGCTCTTAGCCAACTCAGAATGCGAGTTGCTTGGGTGGGGCAGCCCTAGAAGCCGAGGAGCTGCTGTGACTTGCGCATGAGGAAGGGCAGCGTGGAGGGGTGGAACTTGCGCGCGAAGAGAAAGCAGTTTCGCGGCTCCCCCGCCAGCACACAGTGCCCGTTGCCCACCGCCTGGTGGGGAGAGCGACTCACGGGTGGAGGGGGAGTGGGCAAGGCGAGTTTTGAGTGAACTCATGGGCGATTTGGGAAAGAGAGAATCACGTGCGGGCGAGGAGAAGGAGAGGCGCGGAGGGAGGAGCATGCAGTGCGTGAATTGGTGGAGGAGAACTCACCAGAGGAGGCTGCGGTGCAGAGGGGTCGATTATCTGCGCATATGGGTAGTGCAGCGCACATGGGAAGGAAGCATAACAGGAGGCGGGGGAGTGGAGAGGAGATGTGGGGTGGGTGGGGAAGGAAGACGACGGGATTGCATATTGTGTGGATTGAGTTGAGATGCATACATGGCAGGTGCACCCAATCATTGGTGCACGTGCATGCATGATGCCAACAAGACATGCATGATGCCAACAAGACATGCATGATGCCAACAAGACATGCATGATGCCAACAAGACATGCATGATGCCAACAAGACATGCATGATGCCAACAAGACATGCATGATGCCAACAAGACATGCATGATGCCAACAAGACATGCATGATGCCAACAAGACATGCATGATGCCAACAAGACATGCATGTGGGTAGCATACCCACATGTGCATCACATAATCACGTTGATTGCATGCCCATGCAAGCAGTTGAATGCCCATAGAAACGAAGTGCACGCACATACATACAGAGAAAGTACACGCACATACATACAGAGAAAGTGCACGCACATACATACAGACAAAGTGCACGCACATACATACAGACAAAGTGCACGCACATACATACAGACAAAGTGCACGCACATACATACAGACAAAGTGCACGCACATACATACAGACAAAGTGCACGCACATACATACAGACAAAGTGCACGCACATACATACAGACAAAGTGCACGCACATACATACAGACAAAGTGCACGCACATACATACAGACAAAGTGCACGCACATACATACAGACAAAGTGCACGCACATACATACAGACAAAGTGCACGCACATACATACAGACAAAGTGCACGCACATACATACAGACAAAGTGCACGCACATACATACAGACAAAGTGCACGCACATACATACAGACAAAGTGCACGCACATACATACAGACAAAGTGCACGCACATACATACAGACAAAGTGCACGCACATACATACAGACAAAGTGCACGCACATACATACAGACAAAGTGCACGCACATACATACAGACAAAGTGCACGCACATACATACAGACAAAGTGCACGCACATACATACAGACAAAGTGCACGCACATACATACAGACAAAGTGCACGCACATACATACAGACAAAGTGCACGCACATACATACAGACAAAGTGCACGCACATACATACAGACAAAGTGCACGCACATACATACAGACAAAGTGCACGCACATACATACAGACAAAGTGCACGCACATACATACAGACAAAGTGCACGCACATACATACTGACAAAGTGCACGCACATACATACTGACAAAGTGCACGCACATACATACAGACACAGTGCACGCACATACATACAGACACAGTGCACGCACATACATACAGACACAGTGCACGCACATACATACAGACAAAGTGCACGCACATACATACAGACACAGTGCACGCACATACATACAGACACAGTGCACGCACATACATACAGACACAGTGCACGCACATACATACAGACAAAGTGCACGCACATACATACAGACAAAGTGCACGCACATACATACAGACAAAGTGCACGCACATACATACAGACAAAGTGCACGCACATACATACAGACAAAGTGCACGCACATACATACAGACAAAGTGCACGCACATACATACAGACAAAGTGCACGCACATACATACAGACAAAGTGCACGCACATACATACAGACAAAGTGCACGCACATACATACAGACAAAGTGCACGCACATACATACAGACAAAGTGCACGCACATACATACAGACAAAGTGCACGCACATACATACAGACAAAGTGCACGCACATACATACAGACAAAGTGCACGCACATACATACAGACAAAGTGCACGCACATACATACAGACAAAGTGCACGCACATACATACAGACAAAGTGCACGCACATACATACAGACAAAGTGCACGCACATACATACAGACAAAGTGCACGCACATACATACAGACACAGTGCACGCACATACATACAGACACAGTGCACGCACATACATACAGACAAAGTGCACGCACATACATACAGACAAAGTGCACGCACATACATACAGACAAAGTGCACGCACATACATACAGACAAAGTGCACGCACATACATACAGACAAAGTGCACGCACATACATACAGACAAAGTGCACGCACATACATACAGACAAAGTGCACGCACATACATACAGACAAAGTGCACGCACATACATACAGACACAGTGCACGCACATACATACAGACAAAGTGCACGCACATACATACAGACAAAGTGCACGCACATACATACAGACAAAGTGCACGCACATACATACAGACAAAGTGCACGCACATACATACAGACAAAGTGCACGCACATACATACAGACAAAGTGCACGCACATACATACAGACAAAGTGCACGCACATACATACAGACAAAGTGCACGCACATACATACAGACAAAGTGCACGCACATACATACAGACAAAGTGCACGCACATACATACAGACAAAGTGCACGCACATACATACAGACAAAGTGCACGCACATACATACAGACAAAGTGCACGCACATACATACTGACAAAGTGCACGCACATACATACTGACAAAGTGCACGCACATACATACTGACAAAGTGCACGCACATACATACAGACAAAGTGCACGCACATACATACAGACACAGTGCACGCACATACATACAGACAAAGTGCACGCACATACATACAGACACAGTGCACGCACATACATACAGACAAAGTGCACGCACATACATACAGACAAAGTGCACGCACATACATACAGACAAAGTGCACGCACATACATACAGACAAAGTGCACGCACATACATACAGACAAAGTGCACGCACATACATACAGACAAAGTGCACGCACATACATACAGACAAAGTGCACGCACATACATACAGACAAAGTGCACGCACATACATACAGACAAAGTGCACGCACATACATACAGACAAAGTGCACGCACATACATACAGACAAAGTGCACGCACATACATACAGACAAAGTGCACGCACATACATACTGACAAAGTGCACGCACATACATACTGACAAAGTGCACGCACATACATACTGACAAAGTGCACGCACATACATACAGACAAAGTGCACGCACATACATACAGACACAGTGCACGCACATACATACAGACAAAGTGCACGCACATACATACAGACACAGTGCACGCACATACATACAGACAAAGTGCACGCACATACATACAGACAAAGTGCACGCACATACATACAGACAAAGTGCACGCACATACATACTGACAAAGTGCACGCACATACATACTGACAAAGTGCACGCACATACATACAGACACAGTGCACGCACATACATACAGACAAAGTGCACGCACATACATACAGACAAAGTGCACGCACATACATACAGACAAAGTGCACGCACATACATACAGACAAAGTGCACGCACATACATACAGACACAGTGCACGCACATACATACAGACAAAGTGCACGCACATACATACAGACAAAGTGCACGCACATACATACAGACAAAGTGCACGCACATACATACAGACAAAGTGCACGCACATACATACTGACAAAGTGCACGCACATACATACTGACAAAGTGCACGCACATACATACAGACAAAGTGCACGCACATACATACAGACAAAGTGCACGCACATACATACAGACAAAGTGCACGCACATACATACAGACAAAGTGCACGCACATACATACAGACAAAGTGCACGCACATACATACAGACAAAGTGCACGCACATACATACAGACAAAGTGCACGCACATACATACAGACAAAGTGCACGCACATACATACTGACAAAGTGCACGCACATACATACAGACACAGTGCACGCACATACATACAGACAAAGTGCACGCACATACATACAGACAAAGTGCACGCACATACATACAGACAAAGTGCACGCACATACATACAGACAAAGTGCACGCACATACATACAAAGTGCACGCACATACATACAGACACAGTGCACGCACATACATACAGACAAAGTGCACGCACATACATACAGACAAAGTGCACGCACATACATACAGACAAAGTGCACGCACATACATACAGACAAAGTGCACGCACATACATACAGACAAAGTGCACGCACATACATACAGACAAAGTGCACGCACATACATACAGACAAAGTGCACGCACATACATACAGACAAAGTGCACGCACATACATACAGACAAAGTGCACGCACATACATACAGACAAAGTGCACGCACATACATACAGACAAAGTGCACGCACATACATACAGACAAAGTGCACGCACATACATACAGACAAAGTGCACGCACATACATACAGACAAAGTGCACGCACATACATACAGACAAAGTGCACGCACATACATACAGACAAAGTGCACGCACATACATACAGACAAAGTGCACGCACATACATACAGACAAAGTGCACGCACATACATACAGACAAAGTGCACGCACATACATACAGACAAAGTGCACGCACATACATACAGACAAAGTGCACGCACATACATACAGACAAAGTGCACGCACATACATACAAAGTGCACGCACATACATACAGACAAAGTGCACGCACATACATACTGACAAAGTGCACGCACATACATACTGACAAAGTGCACGCACATACATACTGACAAAGTGCACGCACATACATACAGACACAGTGCACGCACATACATACAGACACAGTGCACGCACATACATACAGACACAGTGCACGCACATACATACAGACACAGTGCACGCACATACATACAGACAAAGTGCACGCACATACATACAGACAAAGTGCACGCACATACATACAGACAAAGTGCACGCACATACATACAGACAAAGTGCACGCACATACATACAGACAAAGTGCACGCACATACATACAGACAAAGTGCACGCACATACATACAGACAAAGTGCACGCACATACATACAGACAAAGTGCACGCACATACATACAGACAAAGTGCACGCACATACATACAGACAAAGTGCACGCACATACATACTTACAAAGTGCACGCACATACATACAGACAAAGTGCACGCACATACATACAGACAAAGTGCACGCACATACATACAGACAAAGTGCACGCACATACATACAGACAAAGTGCACGCACATACATACAGACAAAGTGCACGCACATACATACAGACAAAGTGCACGCACATACATACAGACAAAGTGCACGCACATACATACTGACAAAGTGCACGCACATACATACTGACAAAGTGCACGCACATACATACAGACACAGTGCACGCACATACATACAGACAAAGTGCACGCACATACATACAGACAAAGTGCACGCACATACATACAGACAAAGTGCACGCACATACATACAGACAAAGTGCACGCACATACATACAGACACAGTGCACGCACATACATACAGACAAAGTGCACGCACATACATACAGACAAAGTGCACGCACATACATACAGACAAAGTGCACGCACATACATACAGACAAAGTGCACGCACATACATACAGACAAACTGCACGCACATACATACAGACAAAGTGCACGCACATACATACAGACAAAGTGCACGCACATACATACAAACGCAACACACGCACGCGCATACAAGGGAACGGCACGCACATGTGAATAGTTGGACTTGAAGTCTTGCCAGAACGAGCGATAAGTGATGAACTGCCTTGCCGTCTGCCGCAGGCGTGCCGGGAGAGAGGAGGACGCAGGGCAGTGGCGAGGGGAGATTGCACGTTGAGGGCATTGAGATTCCAGGGAGATGGATCGATGACAGAGCAGATGGCAAGCAAAACATAGCATTTACTGCAGGCTGCGAGAGGGGGTGGACATGTAAGCAGCAGAGAGCACAGGAGACGTGTGCGTGACAGGCGGCAGGCAGAGAGTGAGGGGACCTTGATGGTGGTGATGACTTGGTCTGTCATGTTGGCGCCCAGGTAGAGTGAGGGGTGCCACTCGTTGGCACTCCAGTCCGTGAAGGTGGTGGGGTAGCGCGATATGCCTCGTGGGTCCGTCATCTGTGCAGCAGCATGGCAGGGAGGGCCATTGCGTGGTGTGGGGGGGAGAATGCAGGGAGGAGCATGGCAGGGGGTGTGTGGGGCGTGGCAGGGGGGGCATGGCAGGAAGAGCGCTGGCAGTGAGATGGCATGAGGGGGTTGATGCATGTGCGGGTTGATGCATGCATGAAAGGGCCTCTTAGAAGAGCGATTTTCCAACTGCAAGAGAGCACATGGGTGGTGAGAGCGAATCAAGTCAGCGGGGGTGTGGTGCGTGACATGACACCCACATGCAAGAAGGTTTGAATGTAATGCTCATCCGCACAGCACAGCTTGCCCCACTGCAACCGAAACTACACGCACACAGGTGCAGGGGTACCAAGGATGGGAGACGGAAAATGAGAGACCGGGTGGGCATGGGGCATGCGAGGGTCATGAAAGAGGGCTGGTGACGGGACAGCAACAGAAGATGCATCTGAGGGAGAGGTCGTCACGGCCCGCATGATCTAGAATAGCAGCGCAACAGAGGAGGTTGTAACGAGCAGAGGCGAAGGGGGCCAGGGAAAAGGCGGGGGGAACTGACGGCGCAGCTGACGTTGTGCTTGGTGTAGTGCAGCGTGTCCCTCACCACCGCCTCCGCATGCCGCCGCTGCAGGATGAACCACTGCCGCCATGCGGTGCCATGCGGTGTGATGTGGTGGGATGGGATGGGATGGGAGTTCATTCGGTGATGTGCATCCGACACGTGCCATGCATGCGCATTGATGCTAATGAAATCAGAGTGTGTCAAGGATGTGCAAGGCATGGCAATCACAGGAGCACACACAGTTGTTTGAATGTCAAATCTTTGGAGACATGGCGCAGATTTTTACATAAGGACAGCAAACAACATACTGTGTGAATTGTGCCAAACACGAAAACAGGTACACCAAATACATGTGGAACGAGGCAATATGCATTGCATCAAACAGCCAGGAATGAGTGGCACCCCACCTGGTTGCCTGTGAGCCGCACTGCACCGCACCGCACCTGGTTGCCTTTGAGGAACTGGTGGCGGCGGATGACGGGCATGAAGATGTGCGGAATGTACCGCCCAAACGACGTGCTGTATGGGTCCGCGTACCTGCCAAGGGGGAAGGGGTGGGGCGGTGGGAGTAGGAGGGAGGTTTTGCATGTTGAAGCACATCAGGCGGTGTGTGGGGCAGTGCGTGAGGCAGAGCGTGGGGCAAAGTGCGGGGCAAAGCATGGGGCAGAGCGTGGGCAGAGCACAGGTGGTGAATCCGGATGAGTGAGGCAGCACAGCGGGTGGCGGGATGCATCATGTTTCTGGCACCCGTGGTGAATCCGGAAGAATAAAGCGGTGTTCTACCTCACACATGCCTTCACTTCACTTGCACATTCACCTCCGAGCAGCGGCATGGCATGCACATCTGGTTACACCAGTGTATGCACATGCATGTGCAGTCAAACAGTGAGAGAGAAACGAGACGTGGCGTAAGGGGTGGACGGTGTGGTGTGAGGAAGGGGGAAGGGGGAAGGGGGGAGCAGCACTGACGCGTCAACGAAGCTGGCGGAGGAGGAGGCGATGTAGCTGTACACGTAGTCAAACGGCCACAGCGGTATGCAGCTGATGCGCGCCCGCCCAGGGGCATGATTTGAGGGGGAATGGGCGTGGGGGAGGAGCAGGTGGGGGAAAAAAAGAGGCATTGGGGAGATATGGTATGAGGGTGGGCATGGGGAAAAAGGCCACAGCTGACGCTGCCCAGGGGCATGGGTGTGGGAGGGGAGGGGCATGAGCGGAAAACGGCACGGGGGAAAGTTCCATGGATGAGACGGGACCATTAGGGGCAGCTATCGGGGATTTGGGGCGGCAAGAGAGGCCCGGTTGAGAAGAGCAGAAAGGTGGTATGTCAGCACCACCTCTCACTCAGCCGCACCTCTCACCTCGCCCCCCACCTCTCACCTCGCCCCCCACCTCTCACCTCGCCCCCCACCTCTCACCTCGCCCCCCACCTCTCACCTCGCCCCCCACCTCTCACCTCGCCCCCCACCTCTCACCTCGCCCCCCACCTCTCACCTCGCCCCCCACCTCTCACCTCGCCCCCCACCTCTCGCCTCGCCCCCCACCTCTCACCTCGCCCCCCACCTCTCACATCGCCCCCCACCTCTCACCTCGCCCCCCACCTCTCACCTCGCCCCCCACCTCTCACCTCTCACTGAGCAGCGCGAAGAAGCTGTTGGCCTCGTCCTGCACGGCCGCCTCCAGCAGGCGCCTCTCCGCATCCACCATCGACATCTCGCCCCACCGCACGTGCTGCACGTGAGAGCAGATGGCAGTGCTGCGAGCAGGAGAGTCCATGAGGGTGCACCCGGGAGCCACACAGGCAGAGGAACGCAGGCAGGGGCACACAGGCAGAGGCACACAGGCAGAGGCACACAGGCAGAGGCACAGAGAGGAGAGCAACGAAAGGCAGCTACTTGTTGATGTCCGATTGATTTGATACCACCCCACATGCCCATCATCCCATGGCGCACAAGGCTCACCTCTCCACCTGGCACGAGGCGGCCGCGGAAGAGGGGCGAGGAGCCGGGCGGGAAGGATCGTTGTCGCTCATGGTGGAAGGGCAGCAGTGCTAGTGAAACGTTTAGCAAGTAAGAAAGAGAGTAAAAAAAATCCCTAGTTGAAAGAAAACTGATCGCAAAAAGCGAATTCACTCAATCAGAACAGGTCGCAAACATGTTTCGGCAAGGCGGGAGAACCCGTCAAGCCTTCATCAGTGCTTCTGAACACAAAGAGATCCAACAGCTAGGCATAGGCTAAGTAATCAACCTACACCGCGAACAGATTTCAAGGTTCCCATCTACCCAGATTGCCTAACAATGGGCATTCGCCAACACAACACTGGGCAAAAACCCAAGGTTACAAGTATCAGCCTTCCGTGGTGTCTTCGTCAGGGTTATCGATAAGCCTTGGAACTTTCGCTCGCACGAGTAACTTTTGCAAGTTACGTGCACACCTCCATGCAATGTAAACATTCCCCATATAAAAACCGCGTGAACTGAGACGATTTTTGAGGCGCCTCAAAAGGTCCCCCAGCCTGAGACTGGCTGTCACCGGAGTGAACAGTGTCTTCAAGACCAGGGGGCCGCGTTCCGGGGAGGAAGAAAGTCGGTGTGCTTGGCGAGCTTTTGTTTGCTCCAGAAGGAGCGAGCGTTGCCTCAAGAGAACACTATGGAAAATGGGCGTGAGAAAGTCAGCAGGGTAACCCCGATCTCTAAGTCGCCGGAAGAAAGCGCGCTTAGAAGCTAGAAAGGTTAGGGCAGATGTCGAGCGCAAAAGGTACCACTTTAGTTCAGCCCTTACAAAACCCGTCTTGCAGTGTCGGGGGTGGAATGAGGAAAAAGGCAGGTACAAGTACCGGTTCATAGGTTTTTGAAAAGTTTTCAGATCCAGGGTACCCCGTTCGGCGAACCGTGGTCCCTTGAAGATGACCAAGTCGAGAATATCAGCCGAACTGTCTGAGATCTACCACGTGAGCTTGATATTGAGGTCAAGCGAGTTGAAAGTGTTCAGGTACTCCTCCAACTCCACCCTTGATCCGGGCCAAATGATCAGCCCATTGTCGATGTAGCGTACGTGGCACAACGGGATCGTCCCAGACCACCTCCTTGTCAGCATCTCGTCCAGCCAGCTGATAAAAAGCACAGCAAAGCAGACAGCCGCGGGAGTTCCCATGGCAGTCCCTTGCGTTTGGCGAAAAATTCGGCTGTAGAACTCCACGTAGGAGTTCATCATGACCCACTCCAGCAGGGCCATGAATGGAAGAGCATTCGGTTGTCTCCCTCGATGAAGTAAGCCGCTGATCGCATCGAGTCCTCACCGTAGTGGGATGCTAGGGTACAGCGAAGTCACATCGTACGCAGCCAGAAGAATTCCTTTAGGAAAAGAAGTTTTCTCTAGCATGAGCAGCAGCGAAAGGGAGTCGCGTAGGTATGTCTCTTGTTTCAAAACCATCGGCCGTAGCTCCGCATCCAACCATTGGCTAACATTAGAAGTCACCCATGAATGTGAAGCAGCTATGGGCCGCCCCGCGAGTTTCTTCTTATGCAGTTTCGGAAGGATGTAGAACGCCGCTGGTCGCCAACCTCCGCAAGGCTTGTCAAAGAAAAATCTCCACAGACTCTCTGGAAAAGCAGGTCCCCATGCACTTTTCATATCACGCAGTCTCTGCACGACTTCGACGGTGGGATTGTGGAAACACGGGGCATAGGTGGCTGCATCATCGAGATGATCAAGACAGAGGCAGGTGTAGGTGCTCTGGTCCATCACGGTTATCCCCACGTTCTTGTCAGCAGGTTTCACTACCACGTTTCGATCCGTAGCAATGGAGCGCAACGCCCGTCGAACACCGCTCGAAATGTTTCGGTGACGAATGGGGCGAGCAGCCTTCAGCAGGACGGACAGGTCAACCGACGAGTCCTTGAAGACCTTCTCCGAAATATCAATCCGATCGGGCAGCCATCCGGGGTTCCGCACACGAAATCTCTGGTTCCCCTTCAAACCTCCCGAATCCTTGAAGAAAAAATGAAGCGAAATCTGGCGCAGAAGCGTGTCAAGCTCCACATCGCCAGAAAGGGAAGCGGCAGGTGTTGGAATGAACTTCAAACCCAACCCAAGCCCTTACTTCTCATCCGAAGACAAGATTTTAGAGCTGAGGTTGTGAACTCCTAGGTTCCGGATCCGTGCCGACACCTGTCGCACTGTCAGCCGTCCGAACCAGCGGAGTGCCAAATCATGGCTCGTTAGTTCTTGTGCGGCCCTTTGCCGGGGCCGCCTCCGCCGTTTTTTTATCCCTTGGCTTTATCATCCGCTGCTTTGCCTTTCGCTCGCTGGTCCTTGGTGGTGCCATCCTTCTTTTTCTTACCCCCGCGCTCCTTCTTAGGCTTGGAATTCCCGGCCGTACTCCCTGAGTGGCGCTCCGCGTTCGGAGTAGTGTGCATCGGCTTTCCGGCAGCGGTATTCTTCGGCTTCGTATCAGCAGCAGTGGCCTGGGGGGGATCCTGTTTCCCCAAGAAAAGATTTCTCAGCAGCTTTTTCATCACACTGGCCTCAAGCTTTGGAATCATCTCCCTCCGAATCATGTCTTCAATCTGCTTCGCATGCTATTTCATTATCTCTCCGACACTAGCTTCAACCTCCATTTCTTGCACCTCCTCGAACGCAGCTGCTTTCTTCAACTCTTCGGCGGCGGCCTTGTTCTGTCGATCGAGCTCGCGGATGACGATCTCATCCTTTGCAGCCACAATGTCGGAGTTGGCCTTTTCAATGCATCGACCCTTGAGTAAACGGTACCTCTCCTTGGCGGCGTCAGACACCACCAGATCGGGGTCAGCACTAAGGCCTTTGATATACTCCTCCATTTTTGAAGCCAGAGCGACGACATGCGAGTCCACCGCCTTTTGAATCTCCTCAATCTCCAGTGCTTTCGAAGCGATAAAATCAGCCTGCAGCCGCTTTTGATTCGCCAGGTGAATCTCTGCAACGGACGCGGCCGATTTCTCCTTTACGGAGGCAAATTTCGTATGGATTTCGACGACCTTTGTGCGGATGCTGTGAAGCACCACGCCTCGACGGTCCAATCTTCTTGAATTTGCTTTTCGCCTTAAGCAGGTTCTTGAAGTCGTCGCGGAAGCCCTTAACAGCCAACGAAGTCCACCCCTTGAAAGGTTCAGGGATTGGAGTGTTGTCAGCCGGGTCCGGCATAACGATGTGTGGACGACTCTTAGAAGGTCCAGGGAGAGGATTGTCAGCTTGCTTGTTTGATGCCGAAGGCTCGAGTGTTAACGCCAAAGGTGGAATTCTTGAGCGCGATCCGGATCCCTGAAGGGATTTCCTTTTGCCGCGCTTAGATCCTCCCTCTCCTCGAACCCTCTTAACCGAACTGCGATTCCCTGCACCGGCCTCTTCCTCGTTGGATGGATTCCAATCGAAGTCCCACGGGTCGTTGTCGCTCATGGTGGAAGGGCAGCAGTGCTAGTGAAACGTTTAGCAAGTAAGAAAGAGAGTAAAAAAAATCCCTAGTTGAAAGAAAACTGATCGCAAAAAACGAATTCACTCAATCAGAACAGGTCGCAAACATGTTTCGGCAAGGCGGGAGAACCCGTCAAGCCTTCATCAATGCTTCTGAACACAAAGAGATCCAACAGCTAGGCATAGGCTAAGTAATCAACCTACACCGCGAACAGATTTCAAGGTTCCCATCTACCCAGATTGCCTAACAATGGGCATTCGCCAACACAACACTGGGCAAAAACCCAAGGTTACAAGTATCAGCCTTCCGTGGTGTCTTCGTCAGGGTTATCGATAAGCCTTGGAACTTTCGCTCGCACGAGTAACTTTTGCAAGTTACGTGCACACCTCCATGCAATGTAAACATTCCCCATATAAAAACCGCGTGAACTGAGACGATTTTTGAGGTGCCTCAAAAATCCCATGGCGCACAAGGCTCACCTCTCCACCTGGAACGAGGCGGCCGCGGAAGAGGGGCGAGGAGCCGGGCGGGAAGGAGAAGGAGGTGTTGGATGCATGCACGTATATGGTGTAGCGCCCCTCGTGGCCCTGGGGGGGATGTGGGGAGGAGGGGGAGCGGGGAGAAGGGGGGAAGGAGAGGGACGGGACGAGGGTCGGTGGAGGGGGGAGAGGGGAAGAGGGGGAGGGGAGGAAGGGAGAAGGGACGTTTGGGGGGGAGGGGGAGGGAGAGGGTGTAAAGGAGGCCGGGGGGGGAAAGGAGGGAAGGGGGTTCGACACAGTGCGATAGAGGGCGATATGCATGTGATGTGAGTGGCAAGACAGGAAAAGGCGTCCATAAATTCCCAAGAGAATATGATTGCTTACCTAGTACCGCTCATGCAATCAACATGCCACTTTTTGCGCCGCGCATGGGGCATGGCGCATGAGGCATGGGGCATGGCGCTTGTGGCATGGGGGGACGCACGAGGGGGGATGCACGACTGGGGAGGCACGCGGGGGGAGGCACGCAGGGGGAGGCACGCGGGGGGAGGCACGAGGCTGGGACACACGAAGAGGGGGTCCGCAGGGGGGAGGCGCACGAGGCAGCGACGCACCCGAAGGAATTTCTCCCAGAGCGGGGCGAGGGGGATGGGGCCGCGCGTGAGGAAGAGCAGCGCGAGGCTGCCGCGGTGCTGCCGCAGCTGCGACCACACGCCGCCCACCTGCGCCGCCCCCGCCTGCTCCACCTGCTCCGCCCCCTCCACGCTTATATCGAACGGCGACAAAAACGGGGACAGCACGGAGATGATGAAGGGGAGCTGCGAGAGGAGCAGCAGCGAGGCGGCAAAGACCACGATGAGCGACACGAACACGCGCTGCACGTGACGCGATGGCGATGTTTTGGAGTCACCGCCGGCACCCTGCTGTGCGGGAGGCGCGAGGGGCGACGCGCCATGGAGCGGGCCACGAGGCGACGGTGCGGCGTCAGCGGCGGCGTGCGTGGGAGTGGGGCTGTGCAGGGGAGCAAGGTGGCGCGCTGGCGGCGGTGGTTCGTGTGAGAGCACGTGCGGGGGCGAGAGGGGGGTCGGTAGAGCGAGGAGGGATGGCGACACGACACTGCCGGAGGAGGGCGGTAATTGTGTGCCGCGTTGAGCGGGGCTAGCGAGGGGCGCGACGAGGCGAGCGTTGCTCGCCGCCCTCCTCTCCGCCTTCAGCAGCCGCTCCGCTTCCCGCTCGTGCATCGCTGGCGCGAATTCTGTCGCTACTAATCGCACGATAGCACTACAGGTGCGTGCTCGTGGCTCTATCGATATATGTTGGTGTACATGTTGCCTCAGAAGCACCTATTCACGTAGCATTATATATTAGGCATATGCTCGCTTCAGGTACAGAAATTATAGTAAGGACGCAATCATTGCGTTAGCGACAAATTAAATTACGGACAAATGACGTCGTACTTGTGATTCCTTCCACGCCGTACTGTCTTGAGACGTCCAACACCGTACAAGCCACTACTTGAGAAGTCGGTGACACAAGCTGAAAGCTGTTGTGTGGGTGTGACTGATCTGATAGCGTTTCTTACAGAAATGAAGCAAGCTGGTGTGGTTCTTCTGGTTCGGGTTTCTGCGGGGGGACAGAGGAGTAGCACCCGAACCTCACAGATTCAGTTGCAGGACGTGTTAGGCTGCGACGGATGTGGTCGGTTTTGACGGCAGGCTCGGCAGGAGTTTTTGGTGGCTGAGGGAAGTTGGAGTTTCAGTACGGTGCGGTGCTACTCGATCAATTCTGAGGCGGTTCGTGGAGCTGTGTACACCTCAGCGAACCAGCAGCATTCAGCCATGTGGAAGCAGAGTTGCTACAACCACTTTCCACCAACTTGTTCGTTTCATCTAGACTGGGTTCGGTTGGTGCAGAAGTGCTGCGCTACTGTACTGTCGTGGAACATGTCCTGACTCGCAAAAGGCAGTTAGGACTGTGGTTGTAACTCTGCTATAGCGACTACCAGCACATACATATATGTTTGAATAAATTATATTGGGAATTTTAGCCATAAATGTATATTGACTCGCGAAACGTCCCGAATTTTCCGGCGAATGACTTGTAAAACAGAGTAGCTGTGACTACTGGAGGGCTGGAAACTTGGCTGGAAAGTCTTAGCAGGGCTGCTGGAATTGACTGGATGAGGTAAAACTTCACTATGTTCAAGATTAACAAGCCCACTAAAGCACAACTCTATAGGCATCACAAACAAGACAGATTGAAAGCTCAAACTAGGCTGATAGACAATGTAACTTCCCTGGTAACTTGGGCACAATCTAGATTGGATGGACCTTGAGTGACTTTGAGTGCCACATGAGGTGCATGAATAAGAAAACTCTGGATATTTCTGTTATAGCTGATTCTGATGTGTAGAAACCTGTAGAAACTGCCAACACTTCGGTTTGAAGGCAGCTTTGAACTATATCGAGTCTTCGGCTGAAATCTGATTGGTGGTGGAACTTTCGAAGTACTTCCCGAAGCTCTGATTCATCGCCGACATTCCCCCTTGCTGCTGCTTGTGTGCAAAGGGCTGGGGCGGCAGAAACTCGATTCTCCAACACTCCCCCTCGCACCAGACCCGAAGCACACATACACCCATGCTGATGCTCCTTTCACATCTCCTTAGCATACACTTCATGCTGCTGCCCACGTCTCTTCCCCTCACACTCCTCATTCTCCTCAAACTGCTCCACTGCTTCATGAAGTGTCATGAGGCATGCTCTTGCCTTACACATGTTGAATGCATCATGTGGAAGAACCTTGGTCATGAAATCTGCTGCTTGATCGAATGAACGGCAAAAGTTGACGGCGAGAACTCCCTTCTCTAGTTGCTCACGAATGAAGTGGTACTGCACCTCGATGTGTTTTGTACGCCCATGATGAACCGGGTTCTTGGAAAGAGCTACGGCTGAAGTGTTGTCCACGTAGAGTGGAGTTGGTTGAGTTTGCGGCTGCCTCAATTCCTCCAAGAGTCCACGTAACCAGATTGCCTCCCTTGCTCCTTCGGTCATTGCCATGTACTCAGCTTCGGTTGTTGAAAGTGCCACACAACTTTGCTTGCGCGATTGCCAAGAAACAGCGGCACCACACATGAGGAAGATGTAGCCGCCGGTAGACTTGCGTGTGCTCAATTCTCCCGCCCAATCTGCATCGGTAAAGCCTTGGAGGGAGCTTGCATATGGGCTGGCTTGGAAGAGAAGACCATGATTAGAAGTACCTTTGAGATACCGAAGAGCTCGCTTGGCTGCATGCATATGAATAGGTGAAGGGGCACTCATGTGTTGAGCTAGCTTAGATACCGTGAATGCTAAGTCGGGCCTTGTGCATAGGGCTGCATACATGAGACACCCAACCTGACTTTGGTACAGAGCTAGGTCTTGTGGGGATACCTTAAGTGAATTCTCACCATGATGCTCACTCTCCTCAAGACACAACTCTTTAATACCTATGACATCAAGGCTTGACTCTCTCTCTTCATAGGGCTGATGTGAAGACAAAGGGACAAATTTGGAAGGAAGTGGGGTAGGTGATGGCTTGCTATCATCAAGACCAAACCTCTCAAGGACCTTTTGGATGTACCTTTGCTGGAATAGGAAGATGGACCGTGACTTACGATCTCTCACAATGTTCATACCAAGATAATGACTCGGCTCACCAAGATCGGTCATCGTGAATGCACTCGTGAGAATACCTTTCACCTTGTTGAGAAGATCAAGAGAACCTGAGACTAGGAGGAGGTCATCGACATATACCAAGAGCCAAATGTACTCCCCCTCACTCGTGTGCATGAAGTACAGAGCCTTGTCTCTCATGGACCTTGTGAAACCATGCTTAAAAAGTACCTGCTCAAGAGCATGATACCAAACCCGTGGGGACTGTTTGAGACCATAAAGGGACTTTACCAAGCGACACACTCGACCCGTACCGTCATCATAACCTTCGGGTTGTGCCATGTATACCTCTTCTTCCAAGACACCGTAGAGAAATGCGTTCTTGACATCCATTTGATGGATATGGAGACCAAGATATGCGGCTATGGCGAGGAGGACTCGTACCGTGGTGTACTTTGCTACCACGGCAAAGGTTTCGGTGAAGTCAAGACCTGGAATTTGGGAATAACCTTTTGCCACTAACCTTGCCTTGTACCTATCGAGGCTACCATCACCTTTTACCTTGATCTTGTACACCCATTTGACACCAATTACCTTCTTCCCTGGAGGTGGCTCAACAAGACGCCATGTACCTCGCTTCATGAGACTCTCAATCTCCTCTTCCTCGGCTTTCAACCAATGCTCTCTTTCGGGACTTGCCATTGCCTCACGACGACTCAAGGGCTCTCGCGGAAGGTGTGATGCTGCCATGCATATTGCCTCTACCTTCTTGTGAATGCAATTCTCACTCTCCTCACATGTGCACCTTGATGACATGTCAACCATGAAATTGAAGGGCTTTTTTACCTTGCGGACTCGTTTACCTTTACCAAACTCCTCAGTTGGCTGAGACACATTAGTGGTAGGGTTCGGTCTCACAGTGTTTGATTGCGTTGATGCGGTCATTTGCGGCTGAGACAACGGCTGCGACATCGGCTGCGACGGCGGCACGGCTGCTTGTTCTTCTCCTGGCGTGGAAATATCTTGATTATCGGTGTTGACTTGAGGATTAGGTATGGTGACTCGTGGCGGTGAAGCTGAAACGTTTGTCGGCATAGTTGGTTGTGAAGATGCTCTTGGTGGGGATCTTGAGACTAGAAGCTTGGGAATTGATGATGACGCTGCCTTGTCGAGAGGTGGTGATGGTTGGGGCTGGTTGGTGTTGTTGCTCGGTGTTGAAGATGGTGGTAACTGATGACGACCGAATCCGGGACGTGGGGGTGAAGTTGAGAAAGGTCTTGGGTGAAGAAGTGGACTGTTGGAGCTGGTGTTGGTGGTGACTCGCTGAAGTGATCCTCGTGCTATGAGCTGGCTTGACGTTGGAACAAGTGATGAACGTGTGGTATGAGAACGAGGTGTTGCGGTGACGGTTGACTTGTTGCTAGGAAGAGTCGTAGATGGTGTTGATGTAGGTACTTGGGGTCTTGTAGCTGTTGATTGCTGCTGCATGGGATGATGATGAGCTTCTGTAGTTGCCTCTGGAGTGATGGCTGGTGATGGGTTTGATGGCGTAGTGGTGGGCTGATCCGGTTGGCGTTGAAATTGTGAGGTTGGTGTTGATATAGCTGGCTGGTTTGTGACTGTTGGCTGCTGCTCCTTTGGTGGTGATGGAACGGTGACTTGCTGCGGTGGATTGTCTTCATTTGATGGCTGAACTTCATCTCCACTTGGTTGAGTAGCTGCTGGTGGCACTGGCGTGGCACGGTTGGACTCGTTGACGACGGCTTGAGGGAGATCGATGATCGGTCCGCTATGGTCAGAATCGGTGTCATCTTCTTCCTCCTCTTGTGTTGTTTCCTCAGGTGCGCATGCTGGTTCCTGTTGGATAGAGGATAGAGAGGAGGAAGAGGAAAACTTATGCCAACCTGCAAGGGACATGTCTTCATAGAAGACAACATCCCTTGAAACCACTTCTCGCTTGGTGACAGGATCCCAAAGGACCCATCCCTTGCTCTCATTGCTCATGCCGATGAAGAGGCCCCAATGAGCTTTGCTGTCCAGCTTGAGTCTCTTTGCATCTGGAACACGGTATTGGGCCATGGAACCAAAAACACGAAGCATAGACAGATCTGGTTTAACTCCAAACCAAGCCTCATATGGCGTTACACCTTCCGGTAAGGGCCTTGTGGGTCTCCTGTTGCGAACATAAATTGCCATAGTGATTGCCTCACCCCACCAGAGCTTGTCAAGGCCTTTGAACTGAAGGAAAGTGGTAGCTATAGCCTGGATAGTGCGATGAAACCTCTCTGCCACTCCATTTTGCTGAGGACTATAGGGACAAGTGAACTGTTGTTTGATGCCCAATGCCAACAACTCCCCCTGAAACGCTTTCCCCATGTACTCACCTCCTCGATCCGACCTCAAGGTGAGTAACTTCTTCCCTGACTCTCTCTCAACAAGTGCTAGCCATTGCTTGAAACACTTGTGAACTTCATCCTTGGTGTTGATGAAAAAGGACCACGAGAAACGACTCTTGTCATCAATGAAAGACACCAAATATCTCTTACCGTTTCGAGTAGGGTCTCGCATGGGGCCGAAGACATCAGTGTGGACCAACTCTAGGAGGTCCCTTGACTGAGACTTAGAAGGGAAGAATGGCTTTCTAGCTAGTTTACCTTCCACACAAGATGGACATGGAACGGAAGAAAGGGACTTGACTGCTCTTTCATTCAAACTCAATCCTTCCACGCTCTTGTGATTTACCAACTCTTTCAATGCTTGCACTCCCACGTGCCCCAAGCGTGCATGCCATACCTCAGCTTGGGAGATTCTCCCTTTGTTGTTGACTTGATCGGTTGAAACAGCGGGAAGCGAGACAACGTCGTTCTTCGTGTTGCTAGCACCGCGCTTAATCTCCAACTTCATCTTATAGAGCCGCCCGGTACGCTCGCCTTCAGCCACCAGCTTTCCTGCACTGTCCCACACTTTGGCTTTCCCCCCTTGCAAGAGAACGGAGGCACCTTTCTCTTCGAGTTGTCCGGCTGAGAGCAAGTTTGCTCCCAAATCAGGAACAAACAAAGCTTTATTGACACAAAATGACTTACCATCCTTTTCGAACTCAAGCTTGCCGACTCCTTTGATTGGTACTTTGCCAAGATCAGCAAGAGTCACAGCTTTTGAGTCATATGAGGGCTGAAAATCCTTGAGAATGGACTGATAGGGAGTCATGGTTTCAGAGCAGCCACTATCAAGAATAAACTCCTCACTTCTAGTAGAGAAAACGTGCATGCAAGTAGCAGCGTTAAAAAGGACAGGACCATCGGACTCTTTGGACTCATCTTGACTTGTAGAATGACTTGCTATATTTGCTATGGCTGCCTTACCTTTTTCAGATAGTAGCTGAGGTGGGGGGACCCAATTAGGAGGCTTCTTAGGACAAGCATACCACGGGTGACCCCACTCATGACAACAAAAACACTCAAAATTAAACCTTTTAGCATTCGGGGCTTGGCTGAAATTATTGACTCTTGGCATATTGACTCTTGCATTCCTAGGCTGGTATTGATTGGGAATCGAAGGCCTTGGCTGGACATAGTGACTGGACTTATAGGGAGGACTTGACTGAGGAAAACGAGAGGGTTTGTATGGGTTGGAAGGTGACTGAAATTTCGTACCGTAGTAGGGTTGAGGGCGGTTTGGGCTGAAATTTCCTTGCCTCTGGAATTGGTTGCCATATCTTGTGGCTGCTGCAGCACTCCACGCACCTTCGTCACTCCGCTTGTTCCGTGCAAGGTCTCGACTCTGCTGCTCGTTGACAAGGGCCTCAAAGATGAACGCACGACTCTTCATTGACTGCGGGAGCGCTTGTAGTGTTGCACGGAAAGTGTCCCACTCCGGTGTAAGGCCGGTGAGGATGACGGTCTTGAAAAGAGACTCTGGAATCTCCAAGCCGATCGCTGCTGCTTCCTCCAGCATTGCTTCAGCTCGTTGTAGGTAGGCTTGTGCTGATTCATCTTCTTCCATCTTCAGATTCATGAAGCGGCTCCACATCTCGGCTTGGCTGCTCTCGGATTTTGACTGGTGCATAGTCTTCAGTCGGCTCCATGCTTCCTCTGCACTGTTTGCCTTGGTAGAACAGGGCAGGAGCGACTTCAACTGCTGCTCGTGAATGCTATTGAGTAGGTAGAGGAAGGCCTCCTTGTTGCGTCGTTCGTAAAGTCGTTTTTCAGCTTCTGAAGCATCTGCTGCTGGTTTGGCTGCTTCTCCAGTGTAGTAAGGCCACAGATCCAGAAGGGATGCAGTGAGCTCAAACTGAGTTGCCCATGTTGGAAAATCTTGGCCGTTGAACTTGGGGAGGTGAAGCTTAGGCATGAAGGAGGTGAGTGGTGAGTATGTTGTTGAAGGACTGCCTGGTGCAACTGCTTCCACTAATCCAGTAGCTGCTGATGTTGACTCTGAAGCTCCTCCGGCTGGCTAAAGTGCAGGACCAGATGGATTGTCTCCCGCCATGTTCGTATGGTGCTAGGATAGGAACGTGGTGGGCTAGGTTGATCGAAACGACAAGCTCTGATACCAACTTGTAAAACAGAGTAGCTATGACTACTGGAGGGCTGGAAACTTGGCTGGAAAGTCTTAGCAGGGCTGCTGGAATTGACTGGATGAGGTAAAACTTCACTATGTTCAAGATTAACAAGCCCACTAAAGCACAACTCTATAGGCATCACAAACAAGACAGATTGAAAGCTCAAACTAGGCTGATAGACAATGTAACTTCCCTGGTAACTTGGGCACAATCTAGATTGGATGGACCTTGAGTGACTTTGAGTGCCACATGAGGTGCATGAATAAGAAAACTCTGGATATTTCTGTTATAGCTGATTCTGATGTGTAGAAACCTGTAGAAACTGCCAACACTTCGGTTTGAAGGCAGCTTTGAACTATATCGAGTCTTCGGCTGAAATCTGATTGGTGGTGGAACTTTCGAAGTACTTCCCGAAGCTCTGATTCATCGCCGACATTCCCCCTTGCTGCTGCTTGTGTGCAAAGGGCTGGGGCGGCAGAAACTCGATTCTCCAACAGAATGAACATTGACTTCTAGGGGCGTGTCCCACGAGTTCGTTTTCAGCTGATGAATCACTGCTCGGACTGGTGGGTCCGTTTCAAAGCGGGGGATCAGGCAAATGCACAGAACCTTTCTCCACTGCATATAATAACTGCTTTAAAATGCACAGAAACTTTCTCCACTGCAAATATTGAACCTCAAAACGAACTCGTGGGACACACCCTTAGGGCGTCATCAGGCTGCACGCCACCTTTCTGAGTGGAGGGCGAGAGCGAAAGAGGGAAAAGGGGCGCCGCACGCCACGGCCGGCAAGGACTGACGGCGCACTGTCACTGTGCTGCGCCCTCGAACCAAGGCGTGGTCAGGCACACTCCCCAGGCTTTTAGGGCGTGTTGCATTTTTTTTTCGCTTTGACCGTTGGTCGGCTGATTTTCAAGATTTTTTAGGGTAACTCTTTCCGTTAAAGCTCGTCGTCGAGTAAAAGCGGAACGAAAGCCGTTACCCTACAAGTTTGGACGGTGAGACTCACGCCCGGACGGTTAAAAATTTTAAATGTTTTCCCCCCCACTCACTCCTCGCTCTCCCCTCCAGATGCCGTGCGGTTTGCTCCTTGCTCCCCCGACCACTTCCAAGATCTGCTTTGCAGCGCGCAGCCACCCTAACCGAACCTAACCAGTCTCAGCACCATCTGTACGCCGCTTCAAGCTTTTCTCCTTCTTGAACTCCCCTCATTCCTCACTAAGCTGGTTCTCCAAATTGCACTTTCATCCTCACCTCGCCTCAGTGCTCATCCACCTTCGTGAACGCTAGCTGCCTTCTCCCTTTATTGCATCTAGCTAGTGGCAACCGTTCTTGCATCTGAGTCAGCTAGTAACTGTTCGGTACGCCATGTCTCACAAAATTCTCCCTTACTCTTACAAGAACCGCTATTCCCGGCAAACACCTTTCCTTATCACGCCATGTCGCTCTTTCGCGCTCACGAAGTTCATAGCAGCGCTCGCCGCGCTGCTCGCCCCGTCAACCACCGCGCTGAAACTCGGCGGGTATGTCCCGCCGCCGGACCCTACGACCTCTCGCGGCCCCTGCCCAGGCTTCAACACGATGGCGTACCACGGCGTCTTCCCGCGCGACGGCTCCGCCATACCGCGCGACCGCATTGTCGCCGCCTTTAGCAAGTTCTACTCCTTCTCCCCGGCCATGTCGAACGCCATTCTCGATTCCGCCTTCGCGAAAGGCGTGGGGAACCCCGCGGCGCAGACGATCGACCTCGTGCAGCTCCGCGCGCACAACAAGATCGAGCACGACGTGTCGCTCGTCCGCGACGACTCCTTCCTCGGTAACAACTACCTCGTTAACGTAACGCTTTTCAACGAAATGCTCAGCTTCTCCGCGACGAAGAAATTCATCACTCTCGGCGAGATTGGCCGATTCCGCAAGCACCGCTTTGAGTCTTGCAAGAAGAACGATCCCGAGCTCAGTTTCGACACGAATCGCCAAGATGTGGCGCTCTCCGAAGCGGCGGCGCTGGCAGGGGTGTTCGGCGGAAGGGTCCGCGCTTACGCGGTTCCGATTAACTACCTCAAGTCGTTTCTCCGTGATGAACGCTATCCCAACGGCTTCAAGCCGCCGGTTGTTCCGCTGAGCTTCCCTGAGCTGCTTGCCGTGTCGGCGCACATCAAGCTCGCCGCGTCTTTGGCTTAGAAAGTTATTTAAATAACTTCTCTCGAAAATCTGGGAAGTGCCAGGCTTCCGGCACATCCCAAGAAGGTACATGGTATTACCGTCGGTGCAGGAGTTTATACCCTGATGAGTAAAGCATAGCCGGTTTTTTGCCACCATGGTGCTGGTTGTTTAGTTCACCATCAATGACAGATTCGCCCTGAAAATGTAAGGTATTGGTACTCGCAGCATTCGTTTGGAGAATCAAATTATCAGATTTTCAGCTAACACCACCACCAGGACGAACTGCATTACTCACATTATAACTGGCAACCACGCCTTCCAGGGTACCGTATCTGTTTAGTGTTGGATTGGTGGCAGCCAGGAGAGCAGCAGAAACTGTGGCTTAGGGAGCAGCAGGAACTGCAAATGAGGGAGCAGCAGGGAATGCAGCCAGGAGAGCAGCAGGAACGGCAGCCAGGGGAGCAGCAGAAACGGCAGCCAGGGGAGCAGCAGGACATGCAGATAGGGGAGGAACAGCAGGAAATCCAGATGGGGGAGCAGCAGGCACGGCAGCCAGGAGAGCAGCAGGAAATGCAGATGGGGGAGCAGTTGGAACTGCAGCCTGGGGAGCAGCAGGAGCTGCAGCCAGGGGAGCAGCAGGAAATGCAACGGGGGGAGCAGCAAGAAATGCAGCCAGGAGAGCGGCAGGAAATGCAGTCAGGAGAGCAGCAGGAGCTGCAGCCAGGGGAGCAGCAGGAAATACAACGGGGGGAGCAGCAGGAAATGCATCCAGGAGAGCAGCAGGAAATGCAGCCAGGGGAGCAGCAGGAAATGCAGCCAGGGGAGCAGCAGGAAATGCAGCCAGGGGAGCAGCAGGAAATGGAGCCAGGGGAGCAGCAGGAAATGCAGCCAGGGGAGCAGCAGGAAATGCAGCCAGGGGAGCAGCAGGAAATGCAGCCAGGGGAGCAGCAAGAACTGAGGCTGGAGGAGCAGCACCCGGGAGAGCAGCAGGGGCAGCAGCTGGGCACCTGGGTGGGTGATACATGGGAAGTCATGGGTGTAGCGAGCCCACTTCGAGTGGAGCAGCAAGAAATGGAGACAGATTTGGTGCCTGTGTCACAGCTCTCGGGCCACAGTGGGGAGCACCAACAAGATCTTTTTGTTCCTCCTGGGGAGCTGCAGATAGGGGAAACGGATCAGAGAGGGCAGCAGCTGCGTGAGCTGGGCGCTCAGGCGCAGGGGCCCTTGGACGACCAACTGCCACGAGGCAAGGGCAGGAGGCGACGCGGAGGCCAGGGCAAGCAGCGGTCGGGCAATCAGCAGGATCAGCAGGCAGAGGGCGAGTTGGGGCGGCCGCTTACGAGCCAACGTCCGGGAGGCCAGCTGGTGCGACGGCGGCCACTGTCAGGGGAACAGGGAGTGACTGCAGCACCTGAGGGCGTGCAGCAGGCAGGGGGACAGCAGGGAGTGACTGCAGCACCCCAGGGCGTGCAGCAGGCAGGGGGACGACAGGGAGTGACTGCAGCACCTGAGGGCGTGCAGCAGGCAGGGGGACAGCAGGGAGTGATTGCAGCACCTCAAGGCGTGCAGCAGGCAGCGGGACAGCAGGGAGTGACTGCAGCACCCCAGGGCGTGCAGCAGGCAGCGGGACAGCAGGGGGTGACTGCAGCACCTCAGGGCGTGCAGCACGCAGGGGGGCAGCTGGGGGCGAGGGCAGCACTTCAGGGCGTGCGGCAGCGGCAGCAGCAGCGGCAGCAGCGTCAGCAGCAGCAGCAGCAGCAGCCCCCCCCGATCCCTCCGGAAAGCCCCACACCGGGGGTTGCGGAGAATTCAGCCACTCCTGACACGGCTCCACTTGCTCCAACTTGTGTCCCTTGCGAGTTCTGCTTTCACACATTTCCGCCTGGTGGTGCGGCCTCCCGCCACATAGTTGCATGTAAAGCGGCAGATGCTCAGCGGCGGGCTCAGGCCCTTACTTCCTCCCCGAACCTGAGCGAGGTCTTCGGGGCAGATCCACTACCTCCGCGGGATATCGGCGAGGAGGTGTGGGGGGCGGTGCCTTCGTGGGACTGGGAGACTTTTTTCAGTATTCATTCTGTGTCGGGAGAGCTTCTTCGTCGGGTCCCGCAGCGGGCGCGACTGGGGGTGCTTGATGCATTGTGCTGCATTCTCAAGAGACTGAAGGCTTCCCCTGGGGATGAGGCAGCGACGCTGATGTTCCTGGCCTTCCCGCGCCTCATTTTGGGAGTTCCCGCGAAGGAGGGTCTTGGACGAAGGGCAGCCATAGTAGGGCGTCTCGGAAAGTTCTGGGCAGGGGAATGGCAACAGCTGTTCGAGGCTGCCTCTGCCGCGTTGACTCCGGCGGCGCGACCTCTTGCCTTCTCCTTACCTGAGCGAGATGCTGATGCCATCCGTTTGGCCCGATGTCGCACGAGGTGCCAAGTGGGGGAATGGAGTCGAGGACTAGCATGCCTTACTGCGGGCGACTTGGCGCAGCCCTCTCAACTAACAGTAGACCGGCTGACAGCAAAGCACCCGGCCAGTGAGGTGCCAGTTCCTGAGTGGGTGGAGCACTTTCGCATAGACGTTTCTCATCTTCCCCACCTAACTGAAGACATCCTCAAGCATGCTATTCATTCCGCAGCGCGAGCCTCAGCACCAGGCCCCTCAGGATGGATGACAGAGCACCTCCGAGACACATTTCTCTCGGAGCCTTCCTATCTCCCGCATCTGTTGGAGGTGTTCAGGCAGTGGATTTCGGGATGCGTTTCTGAGCGGGTGCGGCCCTGGATTGCAGCCTCGAACTTGGTTGGGTTATCCAAGCCGAACGGGGACGTCCGCCCAGTGGCTATCGGAGAGGTGCTCCCTCGGATTCTGGCGCGTGCGTTATGCGTTCTTCTTCGTCCCGACATGGAGACCTACTTCGCTCCTTGTAACCAACTAGGGGTGGGGACTAAGTCGGGGGTGGAGATTCTGGCGCATGCTTTCCGCTCGGCTGTAGCGGTTCATCCGACGTGGTGCGCGCTGCAGATCGATGTAGCGAATGCCTTCAATTCGTTCCATCGGCACGTGATGTTCGACGGCCTCCGCGATTCTCCTTTTGCTGGCCTTATCCCTTTCTTACGCGTCTTTTATGGGGTGCCCAGCGGTCTGTACCTTCGCACAGGCCCCTTTGTCGAGATGCTGGCGTCCGAGCGGGGTTCGCGACAGGGGGATCCATTTGGTCCCTTCCTTTTTGCTTTCACGCAGCAGTTGGTTATGGGGCCTACAATGAAGGATTTTCCTGATCTTCTTTTCTTGAGCTACGCTGATGACACCTACGTTCTTGGCCCGCGGGAGCGGGTGTTGGCGGCGTACGATGTCTTGCGGGAGCGACTGGAGTGGGTGGGCTTGGAGGTGCAATCGCACAAGTGTAGGATGTGGGAAAGAGGGGAGGCGGCAGCGTCTGGGGATATTCCGCTGGGAATGCAGCAGTCGTGGACGGGGTTAACAGTGGTGGGGGTACCTATTGGAGAGGAGGATTGGGAGGTGGCGCGCTTGAGGGAGAGACTTTTGCAGCTGCGATCACCTCTACCTTGGCTTCCTATTTTGAACCACCCCCAGATTGCCTCCCACTTGTTGGCTGTTGCCGTGTCTGCGCGGCCGCTCTTCTTGACTCGCACTGTTCCCCCTCGTCCTGAGGTTCTTGACGCTTTCAGAGATTGGGATGGGGCTTTGGAAGAGTGCTTTGAGCAACTTTTCCCGCCAGACACTTGGGACTTCAGTCCTGATAGGTCGCGCATGGCTCACCTGCAACTGCACCTCCCGGCTCGTTTGGGCGGGTTTGGCATTCGTTCAGCAGCAAATCTTAGCCCTCTCTCTTACGTCTGTGGGTGGTGCCAGGCTGCGAGTGCTGTTGTCAAGCTGGGAGTAGCGGGCGAGGAGCAGATGTTCAGTGAGTTCTTCCGCACTCCGCCGGCTGGGGATTTACTGGACCCTTGGTTTACCAAGGCCCTTGACCAGCTCCCGCCTGTTGTCAGGCAGGAATTGCCGAGTTTGGGGCTCTGCACTACAAATCCCCCCCTCCAGCTTTTCCCAGCGCAGCAGCGTCGCTTGGCGGTTGAAAGTCTTCAGTCTCTGCGGCGCATGGCCCGCGATGATGCTACCTTGGCCCGTTTGACTTCCCTTCAGGGCCCGGGTTCGGCAGCATGGGTGTCCGCAGTTCCAGCGCATGATGACGCAACTTTCACCCCTGTGGAGTGGGGCATTTCGGCGGCAATCCGTTTGGGCCTTCCCGTCCACCAGCTTCTGGTTGCTGGCAAGTGTGTTTGCGGTGTGGAGTTCAAGGACCCGTCAGATCCACACCATGCTCTTCGGTGCAAGTACCAGTACGCCCCGTCTCGTGTTCATGATGCAGTGAAGCTCGTTGTTGCTAAGATAGCCAAGGCATCGGGTGGGGTGGTTACGATCGAGGATGACACGCTTCTGCCGGGGAAGAGAGTGGATGTGGCGGTTAGGAAACCAATGGACGGGGAAAAACATGCGCTCGAGGTGAGCGTCGTGGATCCGGTTTCGCTACCGGTGCAGCAGCATGGGCAGTGTGGGCGGACAGTAGGTTTTGCTGCCAAGGAGCGAGAGAAGAGGAAGGCGACGGATTATCAACCTTTTCTGCGGCAGCACAGGGGGGTTCGTTTCTTCCCGTTGATTCTTGAGACTTGGGGTTGCTTGGGGGGAAGCTTTCGACAGTGGTTACGGCAGCAGGGGGAGGTTCAAGTAAAGGTGGCTCTTAACAAAGGTGTGGGAAGGGGCAACAGCTCGGGTTTCTCGGAATACTTGGTGGGGTCCTTGACAGCCGCGGTAGGGGTAGCTTTGCAGAAGGCACAGGCTCGGGTGATTCTTTTGTGGGCGGCATACACGTTGGGTCAGTCCGAGGCGGAGTGGGTGGAGCGAGGGGGTGGGGAGCAGGAGTTTGGAGAGGGAGCACCATGGGTGGACGTGCCCTACTTGGTCGACATGCGGCTGTAGATGTCTTAGGAAGCAATACTTTGTTTCGGGTTTTGGCGATAGTCTTTTGATGTTTGAGGTAGTAAGACACTTCTAGGAAGGGTTTATGCATGTCTGTATGCTTGTTGAAATGTAACGAAGCATGATTCAAAAAAAAAAAAGGATAAAAAAAAAAAAAAAAAAAAAAAAAAAAGATGTGCCAGGAGGGGTCAAGTTGTTAGAGTTTCAGGTGCATCTGGAAGCAGAGTCGTCAGCTAGCAGAAATTTTTGGTCTGTTTGTCTTACATTATATGATAATTTTTTAAAGTGTAATGAAATGTAACACTTTCTAAAATTTTGTATTGTGAAAAAGGGTACGTGCAGGGCTGACGTTTCAAATTTAGGTACCCTGATTTCAACCTAAAAAAAAAAAAAAAAAAAACCTGAAGGCACATTTTCCAGAAAAACAGCACCCCGATTGCTCAGGGTTGAGAAGTAGTGAACTCTGAATGTTCAGGGTCGAGAATTGAAAATCAGGGTTGTAGTAACGCGCTCTTTCTTTACCGAGGACAGAAGTCTCACTCAATCAGAAGTCTCATTCTTTACCCTAATCGCAACATCTGCTCGAAATCTGACAGTCTACGGGGAATTCAAGCAGAATCTGCCTTGACCTGGCGCAAAAGGGATTTCCGTACGGAGCAGAGGTCGAATCTGCTGTTGGTGTCGCAAGGGTGACTGTGACTGGCGCTGTGACTGGCGCGCTGTGACTTGCGATGTGACTGGCAATGTGACTGTCAATGTGACTGGCATTGTGGCGATGTGACTGGCGCTGTGTTAGAGCACATCGATTTCGACCAATAACAGCAACCTAAAATCTGACATTACAGATTCGCCCGATGTAGATGGTGGGTGTATGGGAACGAAACTTCGAAGAAACTTCGTCTCGATAAAGCGAGAGGGGGGGGGGGGGGGGGGGAGGATTACGCACGTGGGGGGCACTGAAATCAATGCGAAGGGGTTATCAGGAGGAAATTTCCGAGAAACTTCGCCCCGATAACATCGCATTCAGGGTCCACAGGCCTCCTACTCTGTATAAACAGGGTCCGTGAAAACCCTACACTGAGAGTGTACACAAAATTTCAGGGTCCGCTAAAGCAATACTCTGAATGGATCAGGGACCAAAATGTGAAAAACCTGATTTCTCAGGGTCCAGAAAGTGACAAGTCTGAAATCACCCTGAAATCAGGGTAATTACCCTGATAAAATCAGCCCTGGGTACGTGGCCAACACAGCAAAGGTAGCGCCGAAGCGCTATTCACCCTCTTTTGCCTACAAAAGAGGGACGTGGGGACATTCGTCCCCACCCACGTTTTCGTTTCCGAAATTGTAGTTCTAATTTCGTTCTCGTCCACACTGGCGAAGACTCAGTCGTGTCAAACTTATATCTGCTATGGTCTATTTAGGCTGTAGTGGGGTAGCTCTTAGAGGGTACAACACTTATGTGTTTCCTACTTGTACCCATCTCATTTTCCTAGTTCATTCATTCTTTCGTCAAATCCTTCTCACATGGTATAGAGCTAGTTTCGAGAATTTTTTAAAAGGGCCCACCACTGAAATTTGTCACTGCCTACTCGACGCGCGCTTCGCACCTTCCCCTTCGAGGCCCGTCACGGCCCCTGCGCCCGTCCTTCGAGCCTGCGCCCGCCCCGTAAGGCCCCTTAAGGCCTCGTTAGGCCCCGTAAGGCCCCTTTCGGCCCCGTTTAGGGCGCGGATTAAGGCCCCGTAAGGCCTCGTTATGCCCCGTAAGGCCCCGTCAGGCCCCGTTCGGCCCCGTTTAAGGCCCCGTTAGGCCCCGACAGGCCCCGTTAGAGGCCCCGTACAGCCCCGTCAGGCCCCATTTGGCCCCGTTTAGGGCGCGGATTACGGCCCCGTAAGGCCCCGTTAGCCCCGTAAGGCCCCGTCAGGCCCCGTTCGGCCCCGTTTAAGGCCCCGTTAGGCCCCGACAGGCCCCGTTAGAGGCCCCGTACGGCCCCGTCAGGCCCCGTTAGAGGCCCAGTACGGCCCCGTCAGGCCCCATTTGGCCCCGTTTAAGGCCCCGTAAGGCCCGTCAGGCCCCGTTATAGGCCCCGCAAGGCCCCGTTCTCGGCCCCGTACGGCCCCGTTATAGGCCCCGTCAGGCCCCGTTATAGGCCTCGTACGGCCCCGTACGGCCCCGTTATAGGCCCCGTCAGGCCCCGTTATCGGCCCCGCACGGCCCCGTTATAGGCCCCGTACGGCCCCGTTATAGGCCCCGTCAGGCCCCGTTATAGGCCCCGTTCGGCCCCGTTATAGGTCTCGTCAGGCCCCGTTATAGGCCTCGTTCGGCCCTGGCCTGGCTCTGCCCTGGCCCTGCCCCGGCCCTGCTCCTGAACTGCCCCGGCCCTGCCCAGGCCCTGCTCCTGAACTGCCCCGGCCCTGCGTCTGCACTGCCCCGGCCCTGCTCCTGACCTGCCCCTGAACTGCCCCGGCCCTGGCCCGGCTCTGCCCAGGCCCTGCCCCGGCCCTGCCCCGGCCCTGCCCCGGCCCTGCCCCTGAACTGCCCCGGCCCGGGCCCGGCTCTGCCCTGGCCCTACTCCGGCCCTGCTCCTGAACTGCCCCGGCCCTGCCCCGGCCCTGCTCCTGAACTGCCCCGGCTCTGCCCCGGCTCTGCCCCGGCCCTGCCCCTGAACTGCCCCGGCCCTGGCCCGGCTCTGCCCTAGCCCTGCCCCGGCCCTGCTTCTGCACTGCCCCGGCCCTGCTCCTGAACTGCCCCGGCTCTGCCCCGGCCCTGCCC